TAAAATGTGAGTAATATCTTAACTACTATTAGTTTCCAAACAGTAATGAGACGTGAATCCTTTTAGAAACGAAGGTGAGCGGTATCGGTGGGCACGAAGTTAAACAGTTTATAACTTTTTTTGACGTCGCGTCAATAACGCGACGAAAAGACGCGGAGAGAACCAAACAGGATCGAGAATGCTGTTAGAGATACGATATAATTTAATTCGTGCAAGTCAGAGAGTGAACTGCTTGGAATTTATCGTGGATGCAATTTTGAAATTCCCAGAATTGTACTCTACTCAGTCCAATTGCCATTACTTATTTCTCTTGGATACAAAGTAGGTTTCACTCGAGTTTCGAAAACTAGTTAATGCAAGTTTCACTAGCTAAACTAGTTAAAGCAAGTTTCGGCCTTGCTTTAGCTTTGCAGTACTGCCCTACGAGATTAAGTCCAATATTTACCCCAGCCTCTCATACAGGTTTTCCCGCCGTTTCTGTCAGCTATATGTATTTACTTGGAGTTTTGATTGGTGAACTGGTTTCTCTGTGTCCTTTGTAATTGGCCGAATTGATTTCTTTGGTTTTGGTTTTACAGCACTGTACATTCCCACACAAACGATTGTGCAACAGTGCTGAGGTACTGAACCTGGTTTTCAATACTTGCACAAATAAATTAAAGAAAACAAAATATTATCCTCACTAATTACTTATTGTTTTATTAACATCACTGCTGACTAAATTACAAATGTTTCTTGATAAGTATGTTAAATATTCTACAAACTGTAATAAAATTGTATTTTCTTAGCTAATTAACTTTAGTGCGCTTTATTTCAAGGCAGTTAATGGCAATTTTTCTTAAACTGAAAATACCTGCTAATTTTGATCATTTCTAAATCCTACATTCAATACGGCTGGTATCTATGTAAGCCACCGCTGTATGATAGTCTCGCGGACCTCGCTTGTCTTCTCTTGAACTGGTCAGCGTGAAACATGGGTACTAGTAGTGATGAACGGCCTGTCAACTGGTTTGACTTGATTGACGAGTAATGGTTGTCTGCTCTGATTGGTCGACTGTGTGGTGGAACTTTCAAGTGATTTTCCAGCGCTGGGTAGGACATACGTATACATTCAGCATGTTTCCATTGGTCTGGAGGGGACTGGATCCGAAACTGCTGTCTCTTTGGAAGCACACCTTCCCTGACAAGACGACCAACCTGATTTGATGAGCTGGACTGGTACCTAGACGTCATCTTTTCTTCTTCTTTTCTTGATTTGGCCCGTCGGTTCTGGAACCAATACTATAAAGGAGAAAAACGAACAAACATTAGCAAAACATTCTTCGCAATATTGTAATAGAGTCAGTTTTGTTGGAACGCATTCAAGGCGTTGCAAAGATCTTTGTACAGAATCATTAACAGTCACAAATAAACTCTTGGTCTTCGGCCATCGTGTCTTGATAAGAAATATAGCACAAACAGCGGTGATAAACATTTTAAAAACATGCATTTTATGAACTTGATGTTTCGTACGCTGGTCAACATACATTTTTAAAAGTTTAACCGTTAAATTTTTCTCTGAAAAGCTATTTATACTGTATCAATGGGGGTCTGGAACCTAGGTATAAATAGCTTTTCAAAAAAATTTTAACGGTTATACTTTTGAAAATGTATGTTGACTAGCATACGAAACGTCAAGTTCATAAAACGCATGTTTTTAAAATGTCTCTCACCGCTGTTTCTTTTATATTTTTAGTCACAAATAACCTGTACAATATCGGGGGGTAAAATCAATTAAAAGAAATTTCTTGGTAGAATTGAGGGGAGAGTAAAAATTTCCTAAAACATTCTGTTTCCAACACAATAAGAAACTTGATTGATCAATGCCGATTTCAAGATGATATATCTAAATCGATCATTATTTAAGGAAAGACATCAGATTAGGGATTATTACTTCCACCAGGTTAGAAGACTTGGCTTGAAAATTAAAAACAAATAAATCCCCCATATTATTTTTTAGGCATAAAATCATTAAATTGTCACTAACACTTTGTTGCATTAAAATTAAATCTTACCTTCAGACTTTTGGCTGTGATCCCAAGTCTCTGCACAAGGTCCTCCTCATCTGCACTCATCAAATATGGCCGCCGTCTGTATGCTCGCTCCAGTTCCCACACCTCAATGGGCGAGAAGGTTGTGCGCTGTCGCTTCTTCCTCGGAGGCTGCTCGGAATGTGTCGATACTTGATCGGGCTCGCTGTCACAATCACTGCTGGAACATGCGTTGTCTGAACAAGGAGATAATCGCGGGCTGGTATCACTGTAGCTGTGTTGAGAACTCGGAGTCTGAATGGGGTGACGGCAGTGCACCGACGCTGTTGACAAAAGAATATATACGTTAGCGTTCAGAAATAACTCGTACCTTAAAAAAAAAAAACAGTTTTCAATCCCATAGGACAAATACATTGTATGGACAAGAAAACTCAGAAAAGCTGTTCCCACAGCATTGCTCGTTTTTTCTAAACTTCCACTCCCTTTCAATTATTGAAACCAATTTATAACCACTAACAAGAGCCTGAACCAATGTAAACAGTTTTTCCGCACAGAGTACATGAGTTTGACCAAGTTTCGCTCTCTAGCTCTGCTAACACCTTTACACCTTTCCTACTAAAATGGCATAGTCATTTTCACTGTCGATACAGCGCTCAGAACTGTGTTAAAGAAAACAGATTGGGTAGTGTTCACTTGCGAGTTCAAATAATTATACTAGAAACTTTTAAATTATACTTCAATCATCAGACCTCGCAGTAGTAAACTAATGAGAAAATACTTCTGTCTGTTACTTCACAGTCTCAGACTTCTCAATATTTACAATGTATGACATTAATATTACAAAATGAGCTTATTAGTAGTGTCACTTACCAGAGCCAGAGCATACTGTCTCTTTGTGTGTTTTGTCGCTCTCCAGACCCAGGATTCTGCTGATGGAGAAGTCGGTCGGCTTCCGTGGAAGGAAGACTGTTGCCAAGGGCAGAGTACTGATAGGAGAACTGGGAGAGAGCTCACGTGATTTTCTTGCATGTGTAGAATCAACGAGGGAAACAACTGACTTGAAGTAAGAACTCTCCATCATAACTGAGCTGATAAATTTGTTACAATAACTACAGCACAAAAGTCATTGACTGAATGAAGAACCCATGCAACCTCAGCTCTTATTTATACACTGACAACTGTCAATCAAGAAATAACAAAGCGGTCCGACAAACAAAACACGGAGTTTTTCAACCTTCCTCGCCGATAACTAGAGAGTTTACAATAATCTAACATTCGCTTTGCTACCCAGAGGTGAAAGAGTTAAAAATAACGGCTTATTTTACGAAGCGCAAACCGACAAATGCGGCAATTACTTTGTTTTGTTTTTGCTTTTTTCTTCAAAATAGCTTGTCAGTTAACCATTTTCGTGTGGAAATGTTTATTTTCCTTACATATTAGCTTTCTGCTTGTCTCTTCGTAATGGCTCCTCAGATTGACTGTTTTAGTTAGAAATAGCTTGCGCCCGCGCAAATGTTTTTTTTTTTTTTATGCGTCATTTTCATCCTCGAAAAATAAGACAGGACAGACCAAAGAAATATAGACGGACTTCGTCACGCTCGGTCCAAACTGCTACAACCTCGAGACAACATTCCCCTATACGGCATCGCGCTCGATTAGTAAGAACTTATTATAGAGAACTTCGGATCCGCGTTTAAACTTAATCGGCGTTTTAAAAGGGCTCGGGGCCCGCAAAAGCAAAGTGATCGGCGGCAATTTGGTTTTCACATAATTTCTACCGGAGCTTGTGCAAATTCATTTAGATTACCGCTCTTTTCATGGCAAATGATGCGAAAATGGAAAGCCGCCTCACCCTGAAACTAAAGAAACGTCACAACCGTGTTTAGATACTCTAATAACACACCTATCAACCAATGAGAGCGCGCGTAGTAGCTCAATTATTTTATAATACTCGATCGACGTGAAAGTGTTCTCTGAATATTATTCTCCAGTCAGTCAAAAATCTTCTACTTATTTTTTTGGGTGTTGATAATTCGAATTTGCTTTGGTTTTGCAGCACTAAAAAAACTCCCGCCACTATTTTTTTTGCTTTTTTCCACTCAGATATAAACCCAAACCCAGCAGTCAATCTTATGCACACGTTTTCCCACGCTTCGCGTCTGCCTCTTGCACGTAGGTTTGACTGGGTCGATGGTTTAGCTGCGTTCTTTGTGATAGGCCTTAATGGTTACTTTGGTTTTCCAATGCCATATTGTATTACTGTATTTCTTTTTCCGTATATCTAGCTACTAAATACGTTCGTTACATTTCCATACAAAAGATCTTGACGCAAGATGCTCCAGATCACAAACTATGCATTCGTTATATTTCGATCTTTGGCTTAGAAGTGTGTTCATCTTTACCAACTTTTTGTTACTTGAAAATTTATTTAACGCTTCGACGCCACGATAAGAGT